CTAGAAAAATCTTTTTAGAAATCTTTTTACTAAATACCTTGTTGTATATGAATGTCTTCCATAAATATTTTTGTCATCCTTAGACCATGGAAATTTGTATACGATTTCAGAAATGAAAGGAACTTTAGAGAACTTTAGAGATCCTCTAATCTAGTTTAGGCAAGTCCTTCATTTATTCATTCATTTAACTTATTCATTCATCTATCCATTTATTCATCTACTCATCTATTTGTTTCTCTCTATCTCTGTCTCTGTCTCTGTGTGTGTGTGTGTGTGTCTTAGGAATAAGGATTTGTAAACTTCTCCATAAGCAGGTGAAGGGACTCCCTCTAGGTCATGCAGTATTAGAACTAACTGAGGTTCTAACTGAGGTTTCCAGATTCTAAGCTACTAGTGCTAAATTCAACAAATTTATTAATAGCATACTATGTCCTCGGCACTATGCTAGGTGCTGATGATAGAAAGACAAAAGCCAAACTGTTGTGGGCTGGAGGTAATAGAGAGGTGTGATTTAACCCCATACACACACTCCCACAACACTAACTTGTACTACTGTGAATGAGGAAGTTGTGTTGCAGACCTGGGACAGTTTGAGTTAACTTTCCCCTCAAGTAAGTTTGATTTGAGACCCAGCTGTGTGGGCCCTTTGGGCAAGAGAATAAAAGTAGCTTTTAGGGAACTCCAGAAACCCCAGGGAAACTCCTTGCCAACTGCTTTAAACCTTTTTGCTGGTGGTTTTTATTTGGTTTTATCTTCCAGAACTTCTTTTAACCATCTTGGGATCTGCTTCTACCTAGGGTTATTGGAATATATTTCTAGTAAAAGGACTGTTTGAATCCTGGGGCTCTGAGTGATCCATCACACCAGATAAGTGACTGGGACAAAAATAATCCTAGCATTCAAGAGGCTTACATTCTACTGGTTTCTTCTTTTGTGATTTTTGGCATCATTTAAAGAAAAATAATTCTTTGAAGAACCTTAGAAAATTACCCGATACTACATTTTTTCAGGCTTAATGTCTTTATTTTGGCCTGGTTTTCTGAAAATATCTCCAGAGTGGCAATTAGCACTTCCCGTCTTAGCTCTCTGCCTCATGGTTCATTTTGTTTTGTTTTCCCTTCAGATTTGGTTCCCTTATGAAGATCTAATCTCTTAAAGTGGTTCAATAGATCCTGGGCCACTAACTGTAGAATGGAAGTACTACGGCTCTACAAATAAAAGGTTTCACTTTAGAAAATTTTGATTTCATAAGTTTCAACCAAATGTTGGGGGCTTGTACTAACACAACTAGCCAGGGATCCTGCAAAATGGGTGCTCACAATTAGAGTTCCTAGGGTTTATTATAACCATGCTGCTCAAGCTAATCTCAGGCTGGGCTCTCCTCATTTCATCCTGTTCAAACAATTAGGGTGTCCCAAAACTTTTAGGCATGGCTCTTGGAGTAGCGTCTTGGACGTAGCACCTTGGATTAGATGGTGAGTTCCTTGAGGACAAGCACTGTTTGGGCCTTTCTTTGTATCCTTACTATTTAAGCAGTGCATGGTCTACAGTAAGTGCTTAATATATGCTTGTTGACTTCACTGGGATGCTGATCTACTCCAATACAAAATCAGAAGCTAGTGTTATTGCTGCTACTCTGTCCATAGACAAGTTACCATATGTAGACCTACAATTACATGTGCCTGGGGTATGTGTATCCTAGGAATCTAAGTAGGCATATATTTTAAGGCCAAAGGTAGATATATGTCACTGTTCCTAGACTTGGTTATGGAACATGTATTGCTGAATAAAGGCAGAACCAAGAATGAGAGAGAAAGAAATAAGTGAATGGATGAATGAATAAGCAAGCTCAGTAAGACAAAATAGATCATAGAGATGTATCCTTTATCAATAAAATAAAACCAGTCTTCATACACTGGTTCCACCTCCCTTCTTACTTGGCTTTTTAGGGTTGTCAGGGGTTTCTTATGTCTGAGACTTAAATGGTACTCTCCGTTGTTCTGCAATGGATTTCTGAAATTGTATTTGATCATAGGAACTGATTAAAAAAAAGTGGATGTTCAGTTTGTGACTTTCTGTTTTGCTTGAGTATCTTTTCACACTAATTAGTCAGGTTCTTCAATATCAATGAAAAAATGGGGAAAGAAAGTACATATATACATGTGTGCATGTGAGAGAGAGAGAGAGAGAGAGAGAGAGAGAGAGAGAGAGAGGGAGAGAGACAGACAGACAGACAGACAGACAGAGAGAGAACACCCAATTCCAGGATCTTTTATATAAATAGCCTCTTCTGTAGAAGAAATGGGAGATTCTTTCTCTGACATATGCATGTCTCAAGACAAATACAGTAAGCCATCTAATCCTTGACATGAATACATGAAACTTTGTATATCATTCATGTATTAAAATTCCTTTTCATTCCAGTTCACTGCTAGAGTCATTGTCTCCTGTCTAAAATATATATCCACTCATAGTCAAGAAGTTTTTCATCTCTCTCTCTCTCTCTCTCTCTCTCTCTCTCTCTCTCTCTCTCTCTCAACTTGACATTCATTAATGTGCCTATTTTGTATTTTGTGACTCTTACCTAAATCTCTATTCCCTTTATTGTGAGCTTCTACAAGTAAAATGAAAATCTAAAACCATTGAATTTGATTATTACTTCCATGGAAGTTCTCCAAGGAGTTAACAGTAAGCAGTAGGGTGAATTCAAAGATGCATAACACTCTTCTTCCTTCCTTCCTTCTCACTTTTATATTAGCTTGGGATGCTTGCTGTGCATTCTCATTGAGTCAAAGCAGAGCAAATAATTGTACAGCCTGGGTTTCTAACTTATTCTCTTTTTCTACATCACAGTTTTAGACCACTCCCCTTTTGATGTCCAATGTCATTCCATTCAGTTTTGGAAAGAAAAGGGAGAGGTAAAAGGAAATACTAATTGGAAGAATTCCTTAATTGGATCAGTTGATCCCTGAGGGAAGAGATCGAGGTGGAGAAACATCAATGAGATTTTCTTGTCATAAAATATGTTAAGTAATGTTGAATTTCTGGCAGAAAATCAAGATCTCCCTCAATTTTTCATTGAGATCATGGATGAAACATTTATATTTAACCTTTAAAAAATTTTATTGGTAGTTTTTGCTTGTATCACCTTCATTTCTTGACTCTGTCCCTCTACCTTTCTTGCTCAGAGACTCATCCCTCATAACAAAGACTAAAAAGAAAAAAAAAGTAGAGAAGGGAGAAGAAGCCATTCAGTAAAACCAAGTAATACATCAACCATGTCTGATAGTATATACCACATTCTACACCTATAGTTCCCCACCTCTGCAAAGAGAGGAGATGTAATTTTCTCAATTCTTCTTTGCAGAAAAGTGTGTTTCTTATTTTCGTACAGATTCATTTTCTTTTTTTTTTTTGGCTGTTCTTTCTATTTATACAATTGTGGTCTTGGTGTATGCTGTTTTCATGCTTCTGTTTATTTTACTTTGCATCAGTTCATTAAAGTTTCCCCGATAACTCTGAATTCTTCATGTTAAAATATTTATTTCTATATCTAAATAGTATTTAATAGTTAATGTACACCTTACATCTTTAAAAAATTTTGATGGAAGGAAAGGCTATTTTCATCCTGATCTGAAATGTACTTGTATTCGATGATGAAATGTCTAAATTTGCTATTAAGATCAGATTTTTATGTTTATTATAGAAATATTTTGAGAAGAAACATTTTTCATTAGCATTGTCAAAATGATGGTAATTTTAAGCACATTTTGTTTCAGCGAAGAATCACTGTACCATCCTAGCAGTCAGTCATCTGATCAACCCCACTGAGAGTGCTGCAGAAATGGGAAAACATAATAAAATAGATGGTGAGCTTGGTAACTAATAATAGTATTAGGTATTGATCATGAAAGTTTAGAGGCTCTTTTTAGTTCTGCTAAAATCTTTCAAGAAGTACTAATGAAAGACAGTAAAAGCATGCCCAATAATAATGATGATGTTCATATCAACATAATACTGGACAGTTTACAAAACTGTAAAAAAAAATGTGAGGGAGGATTTTCCGGGTGAAGAAACTGAGGCCCAGCAAGATTAGGTGACTTCTCCCAAGTTCACATGGCAGTAAGTAGTGGAATTAGAATTCAAAATCAGGTCAACTAACACTTATTCCTCATCATCATCATTGTATTTATTATTAATAGCTGGCATTTATATAGTGCTCTAAGGTTTGCAAAATGCTGTGTTGTGTTATCTCATTTTATCCTCAGAACAACAATGGGAAGTAGATGCTATTATTATTCCCATTTTGCAAACAAAGGTTAAGTGACTTTCCCAGGGTCACATAACTTTCTAGATGTCCTAATGAATAAATCATAGAATTGTAGGATCATAGATTTAATAATTTAGTGCTGGAAGGGACCTTATCCAACCCTTAATTTTTCAGATGAGGAAAGTAAGCCCCAGAGAGGTACCAAGAAAAGCATTCATTAGGTGCTTACTATGTGCTAGACACTGCCTTTGTTCCTAGAGCTACAAAGACAAAAAAAAATAAACAAACCTCAAGGAGCTTATACTTTGGGGGGAATGTGCCTGACAACATGCATGTATACATGTATATATGTATACAAACACATATATATATATATTCAGAGATGCATATCACTCTTCCATCTCTCTTGTGTTTTAGCTTGCAATATTTGCTGTATGTTTTCACTGAATCAAAGCAAAGCAAATTAATGTAAGGTCTGGGTTTCTAATAATCCATTTTCTGTGTTTGTGTGGGTAGTGTATACATATGTGTCTACATATGCTTATATGCATTGTAAACATATATGTTTGTGTGTATATATGTGCAGGTATGCGTACACACAACTATATATACACATTCAATACAAGATAATTTCAGGAGTGGGTGGGGCACCGAGAACAGGAGGCTTATTAAGTATCTTACATAGGAAGTGGCTTTTAAAGAAGCTAGATATGACTAGGGGTTGAACCCCGGTGTGGGCAAAGCCACCCTTCCTGTTGTGCTAGCTCAGTGCTTACTTGATTCAAGAATTCAGAAGCTCCTGGCTGTTTCTGGACATGTGGACTTCACTGCTAAAAGACTCTTATACTTTTAGATGATAAAGCAATCCCCTCCTTGACCACTGAGCAGGAAGAACTAGTGACTCAGCAAGGAAGAGACCAGTCCCCATTCCTTTCTCTTCTTTCTTGGCTCTGAAGCATCTTAATACCCTTTGAGCCTTTCACTGGAGGGGTGGCTTGGAACTGGTGTCCTTCCTCCAACCCAACATCATGGTGATTGCTCCCATGTGGCACCTAGAACAGGGGGACTCAATGAGGTGAGCTTGAGCCTGGGCTCTTGCTTGCTTTTCCAGCTTTGTGTTTCCTTTCCTGAGTAAGTGAATAAATGTTGATTTTTGAAGTGGATGTATCCAGGCTTGGAGGTGACTTGATATGTTCCAGAGGTCTAGAGATTCGGGGTCCATCAAATGAAATTGACTGATGGCAAGAGAATGTTCTGCATTAGGAAGGATGACCACCAATAAGAAGAACAGCTCAGACCTGGCTGACCAGAAGACATGGAGTTTGAGAAGACAAGGCAGAACTGAGGTGAAATATATCGACACCTTTTTAGCAATCTGCCACAAAAGGTTTATAGTTTGAGGAGATTTAAGTACCAAAGTCCCATGAGAATATAGTGTTAGTTACAAGTTCAGTTACTGAATCCTATCCAATCTTTCTGTTAATTAATGCTTACCAATGTTTTGTTTTTAGTGTTTCTTTTGTATGTAGGAAATAAATAACCATCCTATAATGATTCATACTTTACACTGCATATATTTCCACTCCTTACTTTGTAGAATGTCTAAAAATGAGCCAAAACTAGTGTCTTAAGGAATTTTTCACATAAACCTAATAGTGTAAGAAAAGGACCCCAAACCCTCATTTGAAAGCTGTGCATGCAGAGCCTCAGTCCCTAAGGTATAGCAGTAATTTATTATTCTTAAGACTAGAATTCTAGGAGGCAGGCATGAGAAGGGAGTACTATTCAAGGTATGGCTTACAGGTAGTCTGTGCAGAGGGATAAGGATGTGACATTGTCTTATCTGCAGAACAAAGTAGTCAGTTTGGCTGATATGTAAAGGGGAGTAATGTATAACAAGCTCAGAAAGGTAGAAAATAGTTAATTTTTATAGTGTTGCAGGGGTGGAAGGAAGTGAAGGAGTTTTGAAATGTATTGGGTTACTTTTTTTAAAAAGCAAGATATGCATTAAATTATAGGTAAATCCTGTAATTCTTCCTCATCATTTTCTTCATGATCAGTCTTTTTCTATTTCTGAATAGGCCTTGATCAAGCTATGTCTAGACTCTCAGCTTCAGAGTGATTCCTTCTTTCCTAGAATCTCTCTTGCTATTCACTCTTTGACCTAAAATTTGAAGTTGATTAAAATTTTTTTCTTTTACCTTTCCTCTTTAGATGATGATCATAGACATTTAACTTTAAGGTTCTTTCTACTGCTGTTTAAATACCCTTTAAGAAAAAATACTAACAAAATACAAGTAGATTATGATCATTTTCCCCATAATGGACTCTAGCTTGTATTATAGTTATTTATGTACATGGTTTATCCCATCTCTGTGTTAGGAGAAGCAGCTTGGCATAGTAGTTAGAGTGTTGGACTTGTAGTCCAGGGAACCTGGATTTGAATCCTGCTTCTTATGCTTCCTACCTATGGGAAAAACATTTAACTTATCTGAAACTCAGTCTCTTTATCTGTAAAAATGGGAATACGAGCATTATTTATCTCACAAACTTGTTATGAGGCTCCAATAAAACAGTATATGCAAAGCTCTTTGCAAACTTTAAAGCACTATATAGTTATTAACAATGATAATAATTATTGTTATTTGATCCCCAAGGACAAGGACTGTTTTTTTTTTTATCTTTTATCCTTGATCTAGTATAGTATTTAGTACAGAGTAGACATTAAAATGTTTGTTGAATTCAAATGGTATTCTTCACACTAACCTCCAACATCTTTCCCCTTTACAATGTCAAAATATTCATATTCCAAATGAGATGAGATAATATACATGAAAGTACCCTAAGAGAAAAAAAAAGATTTATACATGACAGTAACATGGAGTATGCATGTCAACAAGTCAAATCAGCAAGCATTTATTAAGCACTTACTATGTGTCAGGCACTGTGCTAAGTGCTGGGGACATAAATACAAGTAAGAAGAAAAATTGAATCTGACCTCAAGGAGTTTACATTCTAGCCAGGGAAGAAAACACATAAAAGGAAGCTGGAAAGGGAGGAGATGAAGTTACCCAAATGGCAGCATGTTGGATAAATCTGGAGAGTGATAGGTGGGTGGTCTGGGCTCTTCCTCCAAATGGAGGTTCTGGGAGGAACTCAGCATGGAAGAAGGCTGCAGGGGCAGAGGGAGCAGGAAGCAAAAGTTCAGAGAGTGAAGTGTGGCTAGTGGGGGCAGTACTTTATCTAAACTGAAAAATCAGATCTCCTCTATGTCCTGGCACAATGTTCTACACTTTTAGTTCATCTGTATGTTTGAAGGAATTATTCATGTGGTCTTCTGTGTAATTTCAAACATATCTAGCATACTTGGGGTACTCAGTAAATATTAAATGTGAGATCTGGATGAGGGAACTCTCTAATGATAAATATTTATCAAAAATCAATATTGCTGAGTGCTTGTGATGAGCATTTTCAAAAGGACCACCATAAAGATAATTGCAGCTTACATTCCAACATCTGTGGAAGAGGATGAGGATAACAGAGAACTAAATAAAATGCTCCATATTAAATCAACATGTGCTTTAATACTTGGTGGCTTCCAATGTAAGTACAGAGGAGCAGGATGAAAAATATATTGGAAAATATGGCTCGGTATTAAGAAATAAGAAATGAAAGGCTCAGAGATTACAGAAAAGCCACCTACCTATATATAATATGAAGACTTTAAGAACAGAGAGCTTCTGTTTGTTCTATTCCCTAGAATACTGCTGATCTTTCTAAATGAGACCCATAATCACTGAAGAGAGTTCAACCCAATTCTCCATACAGAAAAAATCAAGTGGATGATGGATGAATGCCTATTGTCCACATGATGCTATCTTTAGACAGAGAAATGGAGCTATCCAGTCTACTGGGGATTCTTTTTGCTGCAGGGCAACTTGGTGAATATATGTATGTAACATGACCTCTTTGTTATAGAAGTAATAATAGATATGCTTCCTTCCTTCTTTTCTTCCTTTCCTCCTTCCTTCCTTCTTCTCTTGCTTCCTTTCCATCCCTCCTTCCCTCCTTCCTTCTCTCTCTCCCTTCTCTCCCTCCCTCCTCTCCCTCTGTCCACATAGGGTAAAATACCCTTACCTTTGGGTCCTCTGTCCAAAGGAATGTAAATTTTGATCACTGAAACTTCCCAAGATATCTTGGGGTTTACTGACTAGATTTCTTTCTCAAGGACTATGCCTTAAACCCATCACTCTGGGTCACATCGATTTGGCCAATAGTAGGTCGGAGCCCAAGCCTCTCTTGGTCATTGTTTGGGCCCTGATGGCTCAGAGTGAGTGTAAATAGCAATTGTTTCTGTTTTGGCCAGAAATCCGTAGGGTCTTTCCCTCCCAGATTGTTGGTTGTTGGGGGTTTTTTGTTTGTTTGTTTTTACTAAGTGAAAGAGGCCATTCTTTGCCTCATTTCTAACCTAGCCTTAATCACTCAATGGGCATGACTCAAACAAACTGAGACCTGGGAAACACCTTAACTTAAAAATGCCAAGGTCTCCCACTGTATCTGGGTCATCTTCAGTCATCCTGATCTATATCTTGCCACTGGACCCAGATGGTTCTGGAGGAGAAAGTGAGGCTAGTGACCTTGCACAGCCCTGCCTCACTTAAATCCAATTCACTTGCAAGTCATGGCATCACCTTCCTGAAATAATGGTCTTCTTTGTGAATGATGGATAAACAACCGTAATAGATAAACTGCTCCTTTTTGTTCATGGGTAACCTCTTAGAGTCATATAGCAAAATAAATGATGATTACCTAGTGGATTTGAATGAACATTATTTTCAATGGATTTTTTCACTCCAAAGTGAGCCATAGGTCCTCACATGACCCAAATGACCATGGATGAATGGATGGATATAATAAACATTTATTAAATATCTGCTATGTGCTAGGTACTATGGTAAAAGCTTTTTAAATATTATTGCATTTGATCCTCACAACAAGTAGGTACCATTGTCCCCTTTTTAGAGTTAAGGAAACAGAGGCAAACCAAAGGTTAAATGAGTTTTCCAGGGTCTTCTTGACTCAGGATTCCCTGACTCCATGTCCAGCACTCTATCCACTGTACCACCTAGCTGTCTCATGGATTCGTGATTTTTTCCTTCCCTTTTCACTTGCCACAGAAAGTGTTTAAGATTACATTGTGAGGAATTAGATAAGCGGGTCAGACATCAGTGGTATCCTGCAAAAGATGGTCCCTCTTCAAAATGGAAGTTTTTAGAAGGAATATGTGTCTTGGTAGGCACTTTCTCCTTGCCACCCCCATTAGGATAGATGAGTCTTTTAAAAAAAGTTGCTTTGCAATAGATTCAAAAGAACAGGAGTCCTTGTTTTGGCTTTTGCTCCCTCAATAGGCACCCTACATAAATATTTATTTGCCTATGTAAATAGAGGACAATAATTCAAAGTAATCAGTCAACGGGTGTTTAGTAACTATCAATTTTAGGCACAGTGCTAAGCACTAGGGATACAAAGAAAGGCAAAAAAAAAAAAAAGCCACAGTCCCTGCCCTCAAGGAGCTCACAGTCTAATGGAGGAGACAGCATGCAAATAACTTTATACAGACAAAACATACACAGGATAGATTGTGGGTAGGCTGAGAGAAAAGGCACTAAGATCAAGTACTACAGTTTCTTGCAGAAGATGGAACTTTAGCTGAGACTTAAAGGAAGTCAGGGAAGCCAGGAGTAGGGATGAGGGAAAGAGTTCCAGGCATGTCAGAGAAAATGTTTCAACTCAGGAGATGGAGTGTCACATCCAAGTAATAGGAAGGAAACCAGTGTCACTTGGTCACAAAGAATGGGACGGGAAATAAGGTATAAGAATACTGTAAAGGTAGCAAGGGGCCAGGTTATGAGGGCTTTAAAAGAGAGGATTATATATTTGATCCTGGAGGTGATAGAGAGATGCTGGAGTTGACTGAATGGGATGGTTCAGGAAGTCAGACCTGTGCTTTAGGAAGAACTGTTTGACAGCTGAATGGAAGATAGACTGGAGTAGGTAGAGACTTGAGGCAGGAGGCCAACCAGCAGGCTGTGAGAATAGTCCAGGTATGAGGTGATGAGGCCTTATACCAGAGTGGTTCCAATGTCAGCAGAGAAAAGGGGACCTATAGAGAGATGTTAAGAATGTAGAAGTAACAGATAAGTAATTGGATATGAGAAGTAGTGAGAGAGAGTGAGGAATCCAGGATGACACCTAGGTTTTGAGTCATGGTATTGACTGGGAGGATGGTAGTACTCTAGACAGTAATAGCCTTCACGCTGTAGGCAAATTAGACTGCCAAGATATC